CGAAAATTTTTCTTTCTTTTTCAACCACTCATTTTTCAAAAAACACTATTCTATACATTAAATTTTCCCCGTAATGGGGGCCAAACAGGGGCTAATTCATCCTTTTTTTCCCCCATTAACATGGCTCCCATTCATTAATCTCATTCTTCCCTCAAAGTTTAAATTTGCAATATTTATCAAATAATTTCTTTTTCTACTTAGCTTGTCTCCACCAATGCCAACAACTTTTTCACTTTAAACGAAAATGTCAAATTTTCAAATAAGAGAAAAAGATGTTCATTTATTTTACAACATAGAGCATGTTTGGTACAACTTAAAATTCAATTAAAATCAATTTTTTGACTATTATTTCACTATTTCACCGTCATTTTTGAATCTTTCTATCACAGGTAGGACCCATTTTATCTCTAATGGTAAAAAAAATCAATTAATAAAATTCCTACCAAACAAGCACATAATTTTGACTCTACAGTAAAGAGTCTCTCCTCAAATCTTTCCATCCTCGATTTTGCTTGCTTGCCAATCGCTTTGCCAAATGTTGGCGGTCACAAAATCTTCTCCGCATGAATGTATGCTATTCGCCTTAGGTAAACCAACAACATACTTTCGAAGCAAACCTGTTCTAACACCACATGTAATGGACCACCCATTTAGACCCCGAGATACCACAACACACGAGACCTTTCTCTACACATGCGACCGACAAGATATGCAACATAAACCCAATATAACGAGGTAGGAAGCTTGTTATCGTACTTGTACATGGGACATCGTTAGTGCACTTTCAATAATATAGCAAAATACCCGCAACCATGTGTTTGGTAAAGAGAATAATCTTCTGCTTTGAAAATAATCAAAAATAAAAAGTGTTCAATTGGAACATGAAAATGTGACTAAATGGTTCTAGTTACTCTTTGAGACAGTGGAAGAAGGGAGGGGATTCTCGGTGCCTTGTGGTGTTCAGTTATACTAGAACAATCGAATGCTTATCCTAGATATAGAGCCCAATGAAAGCGTTAAGCGCCATTAGATCCATTGTTTGGGGTAAGCAATCTTATCATACCACGTGGGTAGGGAAGTTCTTTTAGCTATATGATATTATTCCTCTTTTAGTAGCTAGGTATCTAAATTAAGTATCATATCACGCGATACACGATATGACTTAGTACCGTAAAATATCTGAAGTCGGAAAGAAGTGTAAAGTTGAATTTCAACATGGTTTCTTTAATCCCTAGCTAAGTCATCGATAGCTTTAACAAAATCTCAGTCATCTAATTTCCCCAGTCACTTTTGGGTAGTCTTAAATGACAATTTTACCCTTTGGTGAAAATTTATAGTAGGCTCGTGCAGTAATAAAATAGATAGAGGACATAACAGGGAGACATTACTATGAGAGAGAGAGAGAGAGAGAGAGCGAGAGAGTTGTATAAAGAGTAATCGACATTACTAGATATGCGTACATAACTAACGTGTTGATCATGATATTTCCTATTTATTTACGACTATCCTTAATTATTTGTTCTCTTGAGAAAGGCTTGTGAAATGTCCATAATTTTGATCGATGAGACTTAAACAAAATAGAAATGATGCTAAACAATAGAGTGGATTGTTATAGATCTTCTCTCCA